ATACGCATGTGTATCGTGTATGTGACTGTATATGCGTAGCGTATCGGTTTTATCCGATTGATGCAACTAAATTGGACAATTGCAATCTCCTGGAAACTTATGAGATTTTATATGCTGCTACTCTTCTATCGCCAAATTGTTTTCCAGTATTGGACAAGGAGCAGGTAGCGAAATCGATCGCTCGTGAGAGTTTCATATCACGGAAGTAAGAAAATCATTTTTATAATATCTTCGGTATAAACGTAAAGTTCACTGAGAATAAATCATCTCGCCTTGACCAATTTACTAATGTGCTTAAAATAAAATATATTTGCTGAAAGATTCATACATGCCACGAGCAACGTACTTCAATCGCGTTATTCTGAAGATTAATTGGAGCCGTAAATTTCAACGTGAAAACATCGAGGTCACGAGTTTCCGAGTCACAGGCGATTAAAAATGAAGTTGACGTACTTATGCTTGTTAATATATAAATTAATATTTAATTCTATTTACGCGTTTCACATCTATCAGTCGTTTATTATTAATTTCCACAGCTCGAGTAATTAATTTATTCCGCGAAATAAAAAGAATATATTTTTTAAATTTAAATATTTCAAGAACAAAGTTTATCTTTATTTTGCACGGCAGAGATAGTTTATTATTATTCCGCCTCAGGATGCGCGTATATCGCGAAACGAAAAAATATTTGCCGTACGTTATATTGCAGGGATACGGTGAAATATTACGTGGAAACGGTATTCTGTCTAAACGTAACGTCGGACACTCGGTCGTTATGTTTACATTGCTTTGTTATCCGCGCGGCGTGACTCGAGGAGGTACACAACGGCGCGAGGCGTATTGCGTAGGTCGCATTACTCTTCGGAACACGAGCGTGACAAGTGTTGGGATACGTCATGCGCGATCTGTCGTTACGATTATTGCAATGAACGTTTAATTATCAGCACGCGATTGATGAGCTTTCGCGATCGACAACGTAAGGCTCCGTATCTCGAGATGACAGGCTGATTATCGAAGCTGATACTCGCGCGACAATCTAATCAGTCATTAAGACGAAAGAGGATGAGGGACGAGAATCGTAGAATATATTATTTCATCACGATGGATCACGTTACTTTCGGTAGCGTTGCTTGAATTTGCACAACGCGTGACTTGAACTTTTTAATTCATGCGTAT